CATCTAAAATATTTTTCAACGAGTGCTCAACATTGCAGGAGCATTATATTACATAAAATAGTTAAATTCTCGAGAATAAATGATTCATTGTTTTATTGCGACTAGCTAGTTTCGTATGATCATGAGATGATCACACTCGTCAGGCAAGTTACAATGAAATATATATTCATTTTAAAAAATATGATTTTATAGTAGTTTGTTTCTGTCTTTTTCACTTTACACTGCTCTGACTATAGCTGTCATTGAGCACTTTGTTTGAAAACCGAATGAAAGTTTTAAACTATATTTAAATTATATACATATATATATATATATATATATATATATATAACATAATATATAGTTTATGTATGTATGAATAAAATGTATACATCCTATCATACATGAGCATAGGGATAGCTTAGCCCTTATGGTCTACAAATAATTCAAATAGTCCTCTGGCTGCATACATTTTTATCCTTTACATATCTTTATACATGGTTTTCATTGACGCCAAAAAAAGCTTGTGGCTTTTCGAGTCAAAAAATGTTGTTTTATATAGTCCTTCATTAGAGTTGGACTCCACATACATTGGGGCTTTCTTCCCAATAAATATAATTATTATTATCATTATACTGACAGTTTCCTTTGGCCTGGTTCAATGAGATTGAGCCAGTTTGGGATTCTGTTTTTTTTTCTGTGAAGGCGCGCTCTGTTGCTCCGCTTTTGTCACTTGCCGGCAGTTTTTCGTCCATTTGTTGATTGCTGATTGGGTGGCTTGCAGGGCCATACTAGTAGGAACTGATGAACCACACTCCTTTTTCTTTTGGCTGATTTATTTTCCAGGCAAAGTGTATAAGTACACTCAGTGATCTCAAAACTGAATAATCTCATTCTTGCAGCCCCTCCACCACAGAAAATAGGCTTGAGATTTGGAAACTCCTAAAATACAACATACTAATCGAACTAGACTACGGGTGTCTGGCGACATCCGTTATCCAGTACCAGGATTATTCTTTTTCACATGCGTTGGGTCCATTACACATATGACACGATAGTTTTCATTGTCATTGTTGTCCCAGTATTGTGTCTGGCCGGCTCGAAATCTCACTGCAAACTCAAAGCTTGATCCAGCATGAATACTATGAAGCAAATAGATGCGAAACTGAAACCTGTCCTCCTTTCCACCATCGAGTTGGTTTACATAGTCAGCCCAGACATCTTTGTATGTCTTCCAATTGTCCGTAGAATAACGAACTGTCACATCCTTTGCGAAACAAATATTTTTTACGAGCACCGTTCCAGTTACAGCAAACCCTGAAAATGCAATATTTTCTAGACAGACCTTCTGTCGTTGAAGGCGACCCCGAAAGCTTGCGAGAGATGAAGGTTGTTGGAAGTCACAGCGTAAAAAATTGATTTGATCAGTCTTTTTCACAGCTAGGTCTTCCAGACTGTTGTTTGGCGTGATCATTTTCACTGACACCAAAGACTGGCCGAAAACATCAGCAAATTGAACCTTCCTTTTAGTTGGACTTTCTGGAGAGAGTGGAGGGCCTGCTTCGACTTGATCCTTCATGTTATCGTCTGCAGTCCCGAACGATGTTAGCTTAGAACGAAGAACACTAAAACTCTGTCGCCGCTGTCCATCGGTCGCTAGTATTCATATATGACCGTGACAATTTGCACGTTTCAGTTCCATGCGAACGTCACAACTCATAATCAATTTTGAATATTTCAAAATTTGTCATTACGTCATAAGCCCGCAGTCTATATTATATTATTTTCTTTCTCTACAAACGTCTTTCTTGCTTTAGAAATATCTGTATAATGTTTTTTACAGCCATGATAACTTGGGCAAGCAAAGATTAAAACGAAAATAGAGAAGTTTTTAAAAAATGAGTCAGCAAGCACGGTTTTGTTTTGAAACAATTTATGGCGTGACTTGGAGGAAATGCGTAATTAATGGCATGCACTAGAGTGACAAAGAGCACGCAGCTGTGGACAAGCTAAATATAGAAAGTTAGGTAACGCCTGACCTAAATATTGTCGATCTAAGCGAGCTTCGAATTTTCATCGTAACTTTGAATGAATTTAATGAACGTTTTTATGAATAACTTTGTATGTGCCAATAGACTTCTAGCTAGAAAAAAATAATAAATGGAAAAGAAGAATATTGGAATGGAAGAAGTTTGTCATTTATTTATGTTACAAACGACAGCTTGAGGGTTCGCATAACATAAGGCCAGTTTAAAATAATCACAGCCATTAATCTTTTTCCTACGTATAATCTTATCATTTTAAGACTGCATTTAAAACTTGTACTTTGTACTTTGACTTCGCGGGTCATGAGTGACAAACAACTAACCACAGAAGTTTTGTCGTAAACAATATGGCGTAACGCTACCACATTCTGTGACAGTTTCAAATACATGCATTCTGTCATATCCAAAGCYACTTTGAATTCAAAAGCTTTTTTTTGCATAAAACAGGACTTAGGAATATGTATTTATAGAGCACAGAAGATGAATTACAGATGAATGACAGTGCTTGTCACCGCAGAAGAAAACATTGCTTGACATGCTGTTGAGGTCGTTCGGGTGAAAGTGCTTGAGTTTTATACTACAAAACTTTTGAGGGCTTCCGAGAGCTCGAAAGGAATTTTCACTCTGTACGTAAAGCTTTGCAAATATGTAAAATATCCTTTCTAGAGGAAATATTAGGTTAATAAATGTCTTACAGTAAATTGCTGGCCAGCCTGCCGGCCAGGCGACTAACGACAAAGCATTCACTGAGTCGTAACTCGAAATAAAACACATGAAAAGATACAAATTTAAAATTTTAAAGAATACTAACCTTTAAATCAGCCGAGGTATGAAATTTCGCACGTAAATATTCCAAATAATGGTCTCTAGTTTCCGTTTCGTTTTGAAGGTCTTCGTGACTCCGGTCACTACGTATTTTTGGCGCGAAACCTAGAATTTTATATCCGTGTGCAACTTCGCAGGTAAACCAATCAGGGTCAAGGTTAAATCCTGTATTATATCCGGTCTCTGAATCCAGAAAGAAAGGAAAAGAAGTGGAAATGCTCTTTCTTTCCTTTATTCTCAAGATATACAGTCTTGCAAACCAGAAGAATTTTTCCAAATTTTATAATGATGAAATCAATTGGTTTATTATATTTATGGGAGGGGATGGAAAGTCAGGAAATGGTACTTTTTGCAAGGCTTTAGTTTTGTTGACAGAGATTAGGACATCTAATTATTTAAAAATTATTTGCCAAAGGCGAAGTGATTATCTAGGAATATTCACAGAGCAGCCYGAGTCTTCAATCAAGCAGTGAGGTAAATATTTACAATAATCACTAAGCCTGCAGTGAATAATATTGCTTTAGTATGATTTAGTATGACTTTCAGAGAAAAGATAGAATACAGGATTAAAAAAACGTTTTAGTATTACTTCCTCTTGCAAACTTTGGGAAACCTCATTATCACCGCTCAAGCAATGATTATGAACTCAGAATCACTGGTCTCTCGACAATCACAGCATGTATGAAACTCTATATCCAAGTCACACCATACCAAATGTATTTATTGATATTGTACAATTAGACATTGACTCTTATACTAAGTTTTGCAGTTACATGCATTTGAATGACCTTAACATTGACTTTTTCTTTCATTTTTTGATTCATTCTGCAGAATGTCAGCCATGAGACATTGCATCATCATATAGTTTTCACTGCTCAAAAATAACTTCTGTTTTATAATTTACACACATGAGGCATGAATAATATAATTAAGACAGCATCAACACATTTAGTCACAACAATATGCTAAGCCTCTGTTGCCTCATGGCGTACATAGCAGTGGGATATCACATATTTATTGACATCTTTAATCTTTGGTAAAAAGCTTGGGAATCAGATATTTTGCAATTAGTCCTCAAGCCTTAATGAGCTATTGAATAATAGACCATGAGAGCAAGAGCACTAATAGTTTTAGTAAAATCCAACTACATGTAGTAGGTCAAAAATATATATAGATGGATTAAAGTTAAATTTAATCTTTTGGTTTTCAAAGCTGGCACTTTTCTCTACTAGTAAGCTATGACTTATCAATCAGAATGCAGCATTGATGGAAGACCAGTAGATGGATTTAACTAAATTATATCATAATAAGACTATAAAGTAGCAAAATAGCAAAGAATCACACTGTTTTTGAAACAGACCAGTGAACCGAGAAACACTTCACACAATGGTATATTTATGTCTTGGGTGGTCAAACAAAGAATTGTGTACTATCAGTATAAAGGGTTAGTAATTTTCTTCATCGTACAAAAATAATTCCAAATTAAGTTCTCCTTATGCAGCATTAATTTATAAAAATCCAACTGCAGTTATGACAATTTAATTATTTTTAAAGACATATACTAGGCCCAATAGATCACATAATGATCAAATTTTAATTTTTAAGCAAAAAGATATTGACAACTGACAGCTTTTTACCGCACGTTTTCTTTTTACCTAGACATTCTAATTGTGTAATGACCTTGTGCTTAACCCTCTAGATCTTGTATTCCATCCATCAGTCATCACACCAAAAGCCAATGAAATAACAGTAATTTCAATGTATAGATATTGGTCTGAAAGACACTGGTACAAACTTAATTTTATACTGTTACTTTTTGACCATTAATGTGTAGTTTCAGGAATTATCCATACCCACCCCACAGAGGAATTTGGAATTTCCATAGGGTGGGGGAGGGGAGGGGGAGGGGTGGGTGAGAGAAAGAACAAAAATTACAGAGTTTGTATGGAAGAAAATTTGAATTTCCAGTAGGGTGAGGGTGGAGGTGTCAGGGAGGGGGGGTTGTCTTTAAAAAAAATCCTTTGTGAGGGGGTATGGATAAATTTTGGAACTACACAATGGCATGATAAGCATCATTAAGAATTTTTTTGACGCATGAGGCGACAGGATAAAATGCAGGCATGGATCGTCAAAAAATCAAAATTTGTGACATTGAGTCTATCATCTTATCCGTGGATATTTCAGGCTGTCAAATAAAATCCCTAAAGTAATCAAATGAGTTTGATAGCAACTGAATTATGTTTTAAATTTTCTACTTCCTGCATTTTAGTCTTAACAAAAAGGTGCACATGCAGAGGACTATTGTACAACAAATATTTTCCTCACGCAATATGAATAATTATATCAACTTTCATTAGTTCCACCTTTGGGTTTCTTAAAGCAAGACAAAAGAACACGTTTTGATGACAATCAAAATAGTGTTTACTTACAAGGAACAAAGACCCAGACTGCTGTCCAATATCCTTCAGCCTGGTTGGCTAAAGGATAGAAGCACTCAAAGAGAACATTTTTTTAACAGATGTAATTTCCAATTAACACATTTGCTAGGGTTTCGTTTCAAGCCTTGATAAACATTTTTAAGCAAAACAACCACGTAGCCCATTCAAAAAGATGAATTCCATCTTCACCTCAGGGTCACTGATCAAGGCTTTATTGCGATTTGTGAAATTTCAAAATTGCAGTGGCAAGGATGACCAGGTTAAGACTTGGAGACATTAGAAATAGAGGGCCACAAGTTTATCAGTGCTAAGTCAAATGTCACTCTCTCTAAAATACAGACAATTATTATTGTTTTWAAAATAATTAATATGATTGAATTAAGAATTGCAGAGTACCCTTGAAAGTGAAGGGGCTTTGAAATCATTGTCGGTTGGAGATCTAAAATCGAAGAAAGAGTAAATCACTTTGAATCTTGAAATATTCAAAGCCGAACTACAAAGTTTACTTTTAGATTGGAATATGAAGCATGAACTCCTATTTTAAAATAAAAGACCACAAAAATTCTGTTAGGTCTTAAATTACCCATTTCATCTTGGAAAGACAGTGTTTTTTGATACAGGTGTATATCAAATTGGAGGAAAAGAGCTTATTAGACCTAAACGATTGGGAGAGATGAGGCAAGAGTTGGGTAGCTAAAAGCCCTCCCCCTGTCCTCCCCACCCATATCACGGGGGTCTTCAAATGCAGATGGGATGTCCTGATGAGTAGATGGCTGAATGATTCCAACCTATCCCATGGTTATTAGATAAAAGAAAAATGCATAAAGAAAGCTATTAAAACCACTCAGGTGAGAACAAAATCAATCGACTGGTCAACAGACCAAATTAACTTTGAAATTTGCCAACTTCAAACTATATGGTGTTTACATGATGATCTCTAAATAATCGTTCCTTTATCCTTTTAAACTTTATTCTTTCATATTCATGTGGATATGAGAACATTTGAAAAAAACACTTCTCCAGGGAACATAATGTAAACATCAAATGGTTTGAAATGGGCAATTAGCATACGAAGGTAATGAGGTCTATAATGAGTTAAGTTAGAGGGAAGGCATTTAACCCATGAAATAAAAAATACTATTCAACGTGTAATAGTCAACTAGACACGAAAGAAAACAATGGAATTAGGGTCTACTAAAGTGTGTTTAGTCTAATGTCTATTTTATGGGTTTAATGACTTTACTCAAAATGCAAGAAAGAACACTATGTATTGATAAAATTATATTGTTAAACCAATAACAATTATTTTAACTTATTTATTCATATTATAAAGTACAAAATTTTTAAACTATTGATTTCACTAAACTATAATAAATCATCTCATTCATRAAAACATTAACATCTATAACAATCAGGTGGAAACAACTACGATTTCTTTGAGAAACCATTTGAATTCCTAATAGGTCTTAGTTTGTCTATTAGCTTATTAACTTTAAATTAAGTAAATAATTTACAACGATCAGTTTTTGATCAACTTAACCTACCTATAGGAAAAATAGAGAGGGAAAGAGAGCTGAACATAGGTGAACATTTTATGCTCTTTAAAGTCACGATTTACACAAAGACACAAAAATAATTATTCAAGTTTAGTGAACTATATTTTCTCACCTCGACTTTCATTTTGAACCTCGTAACAAAAGACGTTTATAGTGGGAATTTAAAATCCATTCAAGTGTGATTCATTATTATGTACTGCACTTGTGCATTCGACCCTATAGTTGATACCACCATTATTGTCCCAATACTCGTTGCCATCGCTTTTGTAACAAACAGCAAATTCAAAACTGTCTCCTGAAGCGATAAAATACTCTGGAATAGTGATAGCAAACGAGAAGCGGTCTGTGATTCCATCATTTGAGTCTTGGACGTATGAACACATGACATCTGTGTGAGAATTCCACGAATCCAAAGTATATCTTACAAAAACCTCTTTATGAAAAGCAATATTCATCACCTTGATTGTCCCCATAAGAGAATTTTGAGATGTTACCGCATTTTCCAAGCAAACAAACTGCTTTTCTATTCTTTCCCTGAAGCCCTCTGAAGCCACTGGTTGCTCGAAGCAGACCTTGAGGGATTTCTTTGCATTTTGCAACTCTCGTTTTGCTGCTGCTATTGCAACGTGGATATTATATTCCTCCTCGCTAAAGACAGACACTAAAGGCTTTCCAAATCCATCAGCAAAGTGTACATTCTTCCTCTTAGGTGGGAGAGAACTGTGCCTTCTTAGAATTGAATGACCATGACATCCATCTTCATCGTCGTCGTCGTTTATAGGCAAAAGCTCTCTCCCTCGCAAGGATGAAGTCTTACGGAGCCTAGAATTGGACATTGATGGCTTCCTGTTTTAGTCTCGTGAGTATTACATTTTGATCAAAGAGCCAAGGACGGTAGATAAACGGGATTGTTTTGCAGCAGACCTACATGGTGAAGACTCAAGATGGACGGACTATTAGTTGTGCAGTATGTCACGTCTTGGGTCTCGATCTCGCTGGAATCTGATTGGTCGGTTTGAAAATTTTGCTCTTTTGTTTTGCTAATCTTTTTATTTTAGTTTGAACATTTCAAAACATCAACTTGAAAAGTGACACTTAGCAAATGTCAACTTTTTTTTATATCTGTTGTTCAAAACATTAGTTTTAGGATTAAAAACTAAGCACAGTGTTCAATAACAACCTAATTTGATGGCATTTTCAAAGCCTAGCCAGTCGTATTTACTCTTAGATTTYTTATCCCTGGACACTTATACTACCATTGCCATTCGTTTTTAGAATATCAGAGGCACTTAAAAAACGTTACGCTTTTTGGTTCTGTTATTATGCCACCGGGCTCCCTGTGGTGCTTTAAGTACAGCCTGCCAGCTCGGAATTTTTGTATCGTGACCGGATTTCTAGTGTGACCACGTTGCGTTATTCGGCTTGACAGCTGTATACGGTCCTATATTTCGTTCTCTTGAGTGGCTGTTCAATGGTAGTGATGACTCGGCATTTAACGAGTGACGCATGCGCATGCATCGATGCACTTGGATGCAAATAGAGGACCAAATGGAAAAACTAGAATTTTTTACTATTGAACAAGTGCATCGATGCGTGCGCATGCGTCACTCGTTGAATGCCGAGTCATCACTACCATTTTGTGTCGTTTACTGATCAATTGCATTGTCATTCTTTGTAATAACCGGTTTGCTTCTGCTTTCCACCAGGACCGGTTTTCTTCCAGTGTCGTGTGACTTTCTAATCTTTACATACCCATAGTGCTGCACGAATACTAGTAGTATACCTAGTCCTAGTAGACCAAATTTATTATCTGGCGAACGCGCTCTACGTTCTATCCCTAAAGCCTGCTGGTTACCACCGACATAAGCACAAACGCAAGACAATCACGCAGTAGAAAAGACAAAATCTTTCGTTCTTTTGGATTGCGCTTGCGTGGCTTCTTTTCATAGTGAGAACTCTCTTTCTCTTCGCAACTTGCGATGGCATTTGCGTCTATCTCTAAACCCTACAAGGGACTCCAAGGACGAGATCAGTTATCCAAGAGCGAAGAGAAGCGCAGTGCTTGGTCAAACATGCGCAAAAAAATATTATACAAATGAGAATAAGGTTACATTTAATGAATAAATCATGAAAAGTGCGTATAAAACATTATCTATATGTTAATCGAATAAATATGAACGTCTTTGACGTTGCTTTCCTCTTAAAATACTTGTGTGTATATCCTTAGTTTGCTCTTAAATGAAGATTTTTTCGAGTCAATAAATTAAAAATAAATTACAAAAAGTGTCACCAGCATCCCTTAGTAAAGGGGTTTGTTCAAGCCACATTTTTCCATTTTATTTTTCATTGCTTTGAGTGCTCTATCTTTGTTCTCCAACAATAATAGACCCTTTTCGAGTTCCAAACTACCGCTGTGTTTCTTGATTACGGACTCATTTGCTCAGGCTAAGCCTCGAACCAGTGTCTAAATATTCACAAATACCAACGGTAAAGTAAAGAATGCACAAGTTCAACAATACAAACACTTTGAAACTTGACGGACCTTGACTGGAACACGGTAATATTCTTCACAAAATCGAGGCTTAGCCTGAGCAAATGAGTCGGTAATCAAGAAACACAGCAGTAATTTGGAACTCGAAAAGGGTCTATTATAATAACAACTTTATTGGACAGGGTACACCATTACCAGATTGATAATTTCCAAGTGGCCCTCAATGGCACAACAATGGTTATTAGTGGAAGCGGCAAAATGGTGAGAAACTCGAGTATGGAAAATTGAGAGTAAAAAAAAAATCACGCTCGGGACAACAGGAAAAAGCGTTTGCGCATGCGTGCACTTCCGCACGTTTTCTTAGAATTTTGAAGAGTTTGAGTGAGAAACTAAATGTTTTTTTTCTCCAAGTATTCTCTGCTTTCACATCCCCATAATGTCTTGCGTCTTTGGGGGGTAACCAATCAAAAAACTGTCCCAAATTGAAAGGTTTCTTAATTGAATTTATACTATACATGCTTTCATCTGTTTATTCCAAGTTATTTTTGCGTGTACAGATTATCAAGAGTTTTGGTCTTACAGAAAATGTATTGACTTACGAAAAAATGTTTAAAATTTACCTTAAAYGTCTTCAAGCTTCTATCTTTTTCTGTTTTTTTACTTCTTCATTTTATTTTTGGATACCAAACAAGGTATTGTCAACATTGTCTGATCAGCGTTCAGCAAAATAAATGGGTTTTTACCCTCTGGTTACCCCCCAAAGACGCAAAGTATTATGGGAATGTGAAAGTAGAGAATACGAAAAAATTCGAGAGTATACTTTTTCAGACCAAGATACTGTATTACAAACACAATATGAAAGAATTAGTCTTAAGTTTCAAGCATAGACACTAAGTTTTGGCATTTTGTGAAGTCCAATTTATAAGGCATGTTTGAAAGTCAAATTTACTTATGTTTTGACCAATTTGCATACGCATTTAGAGCATGCGCAGACGTTTTTCACTCGTGTCCACGCTTGAACTATCCACCCCCAGTTGGCATAACAATGCATCGTAACTGTTTTTAGGGGTAATATTTCCCGGATAGCGTTTACTTCATCCCCTAAAATGGCCCATAATGCACTGTAATGCCACCTCGATCCAGTCTTTTCCTCAGCCTCGGAATGGCCAATAGACTGGGTTAATTCTCACGGCAGTATTTAGAATTTTAAAAATATTTTTCTTAAGGTTATCATTATTTCTTTTAACCATAGCAGCATAAGTGTGTTTGGTTTTTACTATGGTCGCGTAATGTTATGTAATGTTCTCAAGAATGAAGCGTGGTTTGAAATGGAAAAAACATTACGCCCGCACAATATTGAATTATTATTTACATCTTCATTTCTTTTTTTCAAACCATAGCAGCCTAGGTGTGATGAGTTTTTACTATGATACATGGTCTGAAACAGATAAAGATTACCCCAGGATAGATTAGGTCAATGCACAATGCAGTACTCAGTATTTACAAGATATCCTATCCTCGTCAAGACTTTCTTTAAGCCATAACAGCCTTATTGTGTTGTCGTTTATACTATGGTCGAGTGATGTTTTGTAAATCAGATAAGATAGTCAAACGATAACGTTTCTCGAGGTCCTGCATGAAATCCAAGTGSTCCTGAAGACGGAAGTTTCTAATTGGTTCCTCCTGCAAGCACAAAAAGAACTTTTATTCAGGATTTTGGAGATATAACGATAGCAATGAAAATAAAAGAGAAGTGAACCACTATTGAATGCATGACTTGAAGACCTCAGCAGACAAAAAGAGACAATGGATTTAAGAAGATATAACAATAAAAATGAAAGAGAAGTTAGCACTAGTGAATGCATGACTTGAAAACCTCAGCAGACAAAATGGGACCACGGTAATATAAGCCTCGTCTCCAGGCTCTTCTTTTCGCTGTTCGGCAAGACGTTACGTATGTGCCTATTAGAGCTCTGAAGCGTCCGCCATTTTGGATTTGGGAGAGCTTACAATAAGTAGCCTGGGAAGTAAACATCAYTTTGCCCTTGAGATTTTGCGACGTTCAAATATTGAGAATATAAAAGTCGATGGATATCGAGAGCAAATCGACTCATTCTCTATTACTCTATTATATTTTGACCATTGCTGCCACCACCCTTGTGGTAGTTTCTCTTGTTTGCTAAATTCATACCAATACCTTTTGATTCCAAAATGATTTACAACAATTGAAAAAGAAAGGAAAAAAATATTGCGCTTTTAGTGGCAGGGTGTCAGGAAGTRGTCAAGGGACCCAATAATAACCAATATTGAATCGTTTGAAACTGAGCAAAATATCACTTCCAAGACAAAACTGGCGCCTCCAAAACCTCTGTCTGGAGAACCAATTAGACTACAAATTTCCTTGATAGCCGGTCGAAAAGGAATTTGCAAAAATATTGAATCGTTTGAAACTGAGAAAAATATCACTTCCAAGACAAAGCTGGCGCCTCCAGAACCTCTGTCTGGAGAACCAATTAGACTACAAGTTTCCTTAATAGCCGGTCGAAAAGGAATATGCCAAAAAGGTTAAGATGACTATCACTGATATGCGACTGAAGCCAGTCAACGTCAAGTATTTCCTACGAAGATTGATATTTTAACATAAATGGAATTAGATGAAAAGCGTGGAAAAAAGCAATATTGTTATGATTCTACCACATCTTCGTAGTCTGCACGCACTCGGTTATCTTAATCGTAAAACGGAACTGAACTGTGGGGGCGTGTGCAGCTGGTTGCACAATATATATATATTATTATATTATAACCGCACACACTATATAGTCTTGTCTGCAGAAAATGATACGCACACATGATCCAAAAAAAGCGATAAGTGCACGAGTAAATTAAGATATAGCCACAAACAAGTAGGCCACAGACACAATTGTATTTAAACGATTACTATCAGTCACGTCCTAAGATTTCCCCAGTTGATTATATAGATAGGTTATGTATAGATTCATATGTAGAAGAAAAGCCAGTGGGTCAGTCGGTYAGTGGGTCATTCATTGTTAGAGCATTTTTTTCTGCCATTATATCAGTCGGTCGATCGGTCGGTCGGTCTATCGTTGAGTCAATCGATTGGTCGGTAATTTATTTTGAGAACATCATTTTTGTCTGTCAATACATCAATCGGTCGGTCGGTCGGTTGGTCGATCGGTCAGTCAGTCGGTCATTCATTTTGAGAGCATTTTGTCCACTCGTTAAATGCGCACAAAACAGATAGGCCAGAAGATTTTACCTTAAGCATCACGAGTAACTTTTGCTGTTGAGTGTATTCTAAGATCTCTTGTTGAAGATGCTTCAAGATAGCAATACAAAAATAAACCTGCAAATGAAAAATCAGCCAAGATTACATTATAATGCGCAACTATTTATTAGACCAAAAGAAAATCAAACCGCTCTTTGGCGAACTGCGCCCCCCTTATGCTTGTTGCTAATATCTTAGTGAGTGAGCGAGTGAGTGAGTGACACATTTGCATATTCGGTCCCCTCACAATAACTCGTTTCTACGCTTCGCGTATCCACGAGTTAAAAATGTTTAAGAATCTTCCTCGATCGCCCAACCGGCACAAAGGCGTTATGGATTATAGCAATGCCATAAGGTCATAATTTTTTCCCCGCCATTTAAAGTAAAACCAGTAATGAGCCTATCACGCATGGACTTATGGAGCTGAATCTTGCGAGCCAAAATGGAGGAGCTTCTCAAGGCATGGAATCTAGTTCCGCAGTCACGTTGCAAACAAATTCGTTACCAGTCTTCAAATGCACCTCGGAAATGTTCATATACCTGATAGTCAATGCCGAGAATGAGACATACGCAGACATACAAACAAATGTGGTCCCACGGTAAGTAGTTCCAGAAACACTGACGTAACCAGTGCTGACAAATCTGTAAGATAAAAATAACACATAAGGTTGAATTAATGGAAAAAACGTTAACCAATCAGAATCAAGGAAATTTGAAAAACTGACGTGTCATTTTCTCTCGAAATTATTGATGTCCAGGCCACCAAATGAAAAAATTAACTTTGCTAATAAGCGCTTGATTTACAATAATTAATGAGTTTTTTATTTTTATAGCAATGGCGGGAAGGTTTTTATTTTTCAGAATGTGGCTTAAGGTAGCCTGTTGCTATAGTTACAGGCAGTGTAGTTTGTAACTATGGTTACTTACCTGTGAAGGCGTGTAGCCTGACATTCTAAAGGCAGAGTAAACAAGGGGTACTTCAGCCTGTGGATCAAATGAGACAAGGATTATAAAGCAATAAGATAATTGAAAATTGAATGAAAAATGTTACCAAGTTGAAGATGATTTAAGAAAGATCGCGGACCGCGGAGCACTTTTAAAAGTGTGTGTGTGTGTGTGTTTAGGGGAGAATTAGATGGGATAATTAATGGTTTACCTGTAGAATTAGTTCTACATTATGACATGTTGATGAGTAGAGAGGGGGAATACCGCTGACCGTCAGGGATGTTGGAAGGTGCACCTGAAATGAAATAGAAACGAGAAAACACGTCAAAGTTACAATATCTGCCATAACGATAGTAATAAGAGATAACTAGCTAAAAACTCGTGTGAGCTGCATAACGATAGTAATGAGACAAGGACATATTTTCTATCTGCTAATAAATGCATCTAAAAATATGGAAAAAATATGTTTTAGTAGGTGCGAAACATATATCTTTTTCAAAGCGACCATCGAGCTAACGTCTACTCATAAAGCGGTTACTCTACAAGCTTTAAAAACAAACACTTTAATCATCCTATCAATGATTATCCAATCAAMGGCCACTTTACAAGCGACCACCTTGTAAACAAACACTTTTTAATTGACCACTCCACCAATCTCGTACCCAGAGCCCTTATTTCTTACTGCGCATGCTCGACGAAATAATTGGGCTCTGGAAAACTCCAAACCGGAAGACCCAGATTCTGGGTTTCTCGCACATGCGCATTATGACAGGCTAGGTAAATTCAAAATGGCGGAAGATGTTCAACGAGCATGTGAATTTGCGCTTGGAAAATTAGGTTTTGAAGATGGTTTTCAGTTAAATTAACTCCGAAAATATCTATTGGATGGACATCAATACAATTTCCATTGCAAAACCGGCAAAACTTTGAAAAATCCGGCCCTACAGGCTTTTTTGGTGTACTTAATTCGAGACGCCATCTTGTTTATTTTCCCTAGTACTGTAATATTTACTTCCGGTATCTTTCTTTGTTCTCGAGAACCAATCACAGCACAGGAAATATTAGAGTTTTCCAGAGCCCAATTATTTCGTTGAGCATGCGCAGTAAGAAATAAGGGCTCTGGGTACGAGATTGACCACTCCACAAGTAACTATTTTTTAGTGGCCTCTGTACAAATGGCCAATTTGTAAGGGGTCATCTGCACAAACGATCGTCCCATAAGTGGTCACACAAGCGCCACAAATTGCGCAAGCTGAGCGGTTCCATAATAATTCTTTTTTTTTTTTTTTTTTTTTTTTGACATTGGCCGTACAGATAAGTTTAATGTCAAGTTCACTGATCCAAGTCTGAACGACGTGAGCGATGACGTACACGACTGCTGCGACTTACAGCAAGCGTCCATACTTTCCTCGTTTAACCTTGACACATGCACTTAAAACTCATCTCTTTTAACACTATGGAAAATATATTTGAGGACATAAACAATTTTCCCCCTGCAATGTGATGAAATAACAACCGCCGCTCTCTCATCGCAACGGAAACTCTCCCCCCATTCCCCCTTTCCCCACCCCACCTCCCTCCTCCAAAATTAGAGAAAACGGCGCAAAGTAATTAAATAAATTACGACACACAAAAAAGGAAAAAATGTCATGCGGCACTAGAAATTATTCCCTCAAAAATAATGAATGCTCTTAATTCCATCCAGTTGCTTTCATATTAACTAGAAAGAACAGTGATTGGCATGCGCGCAGTTCTTCACGAGGAACACGGAAGTCTTATTTATTAATATCTAGGGCAGTATAGTAGTACATGGCAAGAAAAGTACTCTTGCTACTTATCCTACGTGTGAATTAATCTTTTTGAACGGCTTAGTGCATGGTTGCACATGACAAGCGTTATTTTGTGCACAGAAGAAATCTGATATTAGATGCCATTAACGACCTTCTTTATGGTAATACGATTATAAGTTATTAACAATATCTATTTTTGTACGGTTGCACGTTATTTCATGCACAAATGAAATCTGACAACGACGACCTGCTTCGAACTCATCTCGTGAAACTAACCATCACGTACTGTATACTTTTAATGAGTACAGATATCAACTATTCAAATTTAGACAGCGTCGCGCATAGAGTGAAGGCATTTAATCCATGAAATAAAAAACGCTAGTCAACGTGTAATAGTCAAATAGACACAAAAGAAGACTAAAAGGAATTAAGGACTATTTAAGTGTATTAGTCTAATATCTATTTCACGGGTTTAATGACTTTATCACGCAGAATATGTTTAAAAATTACTAATTTACTTAGCGATTGTGTAAAATGTTTCGTGTCTATAAAATAAGGTGCTTTAGTGAACATGAATAAAAGCGGTTTTCATAATCCCGTGAAATAGATTTAGATTTATTTAGTATTGTTTCACTCTAATTTGTTTGCTTTCTATTGTGTTTATCCGATTATTACACTAAATTATACAACCTTTTTCATGGGTTCATGAAAAAACCGCTCTAATCACGATGATCTTTTACTGATTTTTTTGCGCCATCAGTTAAATCACTTGTGCACAAAAAAACGTACTTTAACTAAGGTACAGTTACCGTCTAAAATGTCGTGTCTAGGTCGTACAGATAAAAACCATCAAATATTAGATATACGCATTGAAAGTTGCAATACAGTACATATAGATCATAAGCGATTCAGTGATAACAGATAAACATGGTACTTAAAGCTTCAGGGAGGATGAGGGTAGGGAAGAGAAGGGGGACGTCGGACCGCGCGAAGGAGGAGAAATAATTGTAATTAATTGTACAATACTTTGAAAACTTGACTAAAAGTTACAAACTCATGCGGAACGCAGCTGAAATCTTGTTAACTAAAGCGCTATTTATCAAGCAGTCATCACATCCTGTAAGATAACTTGTTTTAAATACTTGAAGTGTTTTCGTAGACGAAGACTCAAGGTTAATCATAAATAACATTGCTATCACGTCGCGGTCTCACTGTTTAGCACCGCGTGTTGAGTGCCGACCTTACTCACCTCTGCTGATGGAATCTAAACAATATCAGTTTGATTCACGACCCACCTTCAGAGTTAAGTACATTCTGGATTTATTTAAAGTGCGAGTACGTGTTGGTATTCTAACGCCGAAATAATTCTCGCAGTTATTTGGTTCTGCTTTCTGAAATCATGTTATTCTGAAGGTTCAAGAAAAATACCTTTATCGGAACTACCGATGGATGGAATTATAGAAGCCTATTCTTCTATTTGTAAAAGCTAAATCTTTGCGCCATATTACATCATATTGCTGTCATATATCGTGTTTCCACGGTATTTCTAAATTTGTTAATTTTAACTAGTTTAAATTGACCCATTGAAAACGCAACCTGTATTGATTCGAGTTCTATATGCGACAAGTTATTTATATAACGGACTGGTGACTTTGATTCAGTGAAGTGACCTGTGCGTGGGTGTGCGTTACGGACCTGGGGTGTGCGTGGGGGAATGGCAGGGGAGAGGCAGGGGGAGGGGCAGAAGGATGGGATTCTAAAACCGTTTGTGATCCGTAAGACCTTTTCTAGGTTGGGTGCCACATTATCAGAAGCGTGTGACGCATTTGACGTTTAACTGGGGCAACTGAAAAAAACCTAAGCAGACGTCTTTGGAATCACGCAACCTTACGTAGGGAATGAAACGTTGCGTGACAGAATCTAAGGACTTTTGCGTTGGAGGATGCTATGGAACAAACTCCGGGATAATAAAACTAAGGGCACGGCTAACTATTGGATTAGTATTAGTAATAGACTACTATATGGTTGGCGTGACATTGGCTTTGAAGTCACTAACGTAAGGCACGTTTACACGAGACGATTTTTACAGCAATTTGAGGTGCGATTTTTGCGGCGATTTTGGTCATAATCAATAATGGTAAAGGATTGACTAAATGATTGATTTCATTCCGGACACCAAGATTACCTGGACAAATTTATCATATCTTGTTCTGCTTCGAACAAGTCGACAATTTCAATTGTTGTCGACGAAGGAAAAAAGAATATTCAATAAAAAAGGGCGGCATACAATAAGAAAGCATTCACGGATTCATTGGCCAAAATTGTCTGGGATATCGATTGCACCACGTGGAGGCACACCCTGTTTAAATTTATAATTCGACATACAAAATCCACGGCTAATATCTTAAACGTTGATTTAACGACATTTGACCAAAATTGTCTGAGATATCGAATACGCCGCGTGGAAAGGCACACCCTGTTTAAGTTTATTATTCAACATGCAAAATCCACGGCTAAGGTCTTAAACATTGAAACAAATTCAGTTTCCTTACCGATGCATGAAGTCTTCGAATCCACAGGTATCCCGAACACACCAAACTTGAAAATTTGAACAAAAACTCGCGGCTTTCGTCTGGGTTTCCTCCAAACATCAGGAATATTGTCGATACGAACCAATCATGGCCAGGGTATTCGACACTTAGGGTGCCTAGATAAGTTGTCAAGGAAATAGGCAACAAAAAATATATAAATCTGGCGTGTTTTTTCTGCGTTCTAGAAAGATTTGGTGTAATTTTACAAAGCTCAACGTGGCCGAAGGTGCAGTGCAAGGATACGACCAATTCAAACAAAAACATGTGCGCAACGTAAATATTTTACGCAAATTACTGGTCTGTGAAAATCTTAAAGTACTAGTCTTACGAAACTGACACCATCCCTGSAAATTATACCATATAAAACTAGACATAATATAGTTTACTGTCCAAATTCTTTTTCGATACGAGACCGGGAAGATGTCATATTTAGCCGCTAAATGTAATGTCATATTTAGTTTTGGCGGAAGAGCTTTTGACAATTTTCGAAAGTAGAATTCAGACGGAAAAAGTTTCTTTTTCGAACCAATTATTCTTTATTGGTAGACTTTATAACCTATTTGATAATATAGAAAATAGGGGATTTTTTTGGAGCTATTTTCATTTTCGTAAGGCTAGCACGTTAATAGACGTGTGGTAACAAGGGTAAGACTACCTCAAACAAGACTTGTGCGCAATGCACATATTGTGCGCAAAGTATTAGTTTGTAAATCTTAATAGGGGTATGGTACTGAACAAGGATAAGACTACCTCAAACAAGTCATGTGCGCAATGAGCATATTGTGCGCAMAGTATTAGTTTGTAAATCTTAATAGGGGTATGGTACTGAACAAGGATAAGACTACCTCAAACAAGTCATGTGCGCAATGAGCATATTGTGCGCAGGGTTGACTTTTAATTTTTTTTTAGCTATAAATCTTAACAGTAACGAGGATACGACCACCTCAAACAATATTAATACTAATATTAATCTATAAATCATAACAGGTGTATGGCAAAAGGATACGTAAAGTAGAGTCTGGTATTTTTTGTTGGCTTCGCATAAAGAACTTCGCGTACTTCAGAAGATGGCACAGATCTTCTGTACCATCCATACTGGACTGAAGGATCTTTAGGTTCAAGCCATAGCGAACCACCAGCTTGGCACCAAGCGATTCTATTGATGATAACTCAGTGTTCTTAAGACTCATCTCCCCCACTGTGAGCAAAAATAAACCACGTGTTAGTTATTTCCTTACCCCTTGTCATTGGGCTACCTGTGGTAGCAAAACCGATCAAATCTAAAAATAAAATAAAATCTAAAAATCGATTAAACTTTTGCTGTTGTATCACAGCGTGTGACAATCACGATAAAGACAGGCTCTAACTAGGTGAAAGCCCAAAGATCGAATTGGAAATTAGAATTAGATGTTTGAGGAGGGAGGAAAACTGGAGAAAAACCCTCGAAGCACAGGAGAGAACCGGTAAGCAACTCTACTAACATGCAATGCCTAGCCTGGTGAGATGCGGCGCATTAGCAGCGCATACCACCCCGTTCTTCCCACAAAATGCACTTTGATAAATTGCAGATATTTTACCTGAAAATTCGATCAGTGGGAAAATCGACTCCTCGGGTACGTTAGTCAGTGCGTGACAAACAGATTCCAGCAATAATTTTATCACTGAAAAAAATACACCAGACAAAAGTCATTTGCCTTTTTAGTTCTTGGTATAGAAGGGGAAGAGAGGAGTGCTCAATTTTGTTGGAGAAGTTTGCATTCCAAAAGGATAAAGAACTACAATACGCAATGTTTGCGCAAATTTGTTTTGGAATCATCTAAGGTAGGGAGGGACACACTAGGCGAGCCATGGGACCAATTTAGAATGGTGTGAGGTATATTCCTTGCRTATACTAATTGATTTGTATTTGAGCATGACTTGAGGGTTCAAACCGACTCCACGTCATGCCCTAACGTTGCCCTAAACTTGTCCTAACCTTTAAGCCCCACATACACGGAATATTTGAATCTTTACGTTTGCGGGCGTTGTGACTATTTTTTTGTCAATGAAAATTAGACTTTTCATTTCAAATTATACTCTTTAAGCTATACCCCTTCTTGTGCATTCAAAAGTTTAATGACTTGACTCCACGTCATGCAACGCAAGTCAGGTCGTATTGTAAATGAAAAGCAACGCAAGTGCAAGTACCTTGATCTGGATTTGTCGACAGGGCAGAAAAACGGTTTTTGGCCTTTCGCCATAAGGACAGCTTTACGTATTTAAGCTCAGTATTTTGTAAACACGTTCTTTTGAAGCCAAATAGCAAAATATCAAATGCGACAAAAATTTATTGATGCGTATTTGAGATATAAAGTCGCGTACTTTGGGGTGATATTTTGATCAGCAGAAAAACTGACATTTTCGCGAATACTAAGTAGATTTACTTTTTGAATTCGACAAAATTTCGTTACAAGTTTCGAGCAGCAGTGACACAAATGTAACGCTTAAATATTTGAAGTATTAAACTCAGTTAAATAAAAAAAATCGTGAAAGTAGCGGGCTTGTCGTTTTTCTGCCCTGTCGGATTTGTCTGCAATAGCAGACCGGGTACTAACGAATTTCACGACTTTTTACCTTTGACTTTGCACTTGAAGTGTCCTTTCTTGATAGTCGAACAGAAAAGCTCTCTGAATTTCTCTAGCCATTCGATGCTACAATGAGCAGTAAAGCATGAATAAGATTAAATGAATGGCTTTAAGCAAGTAGATAGTGAAACACGCAGTTTACCCTACTTCTCTAACCCAGTGCTAGGTTTTACAGGTAGTTCAGTGTCACCCGATGGATTAACGATTACCTTTCTGTTGGGGATGGCTTGTCCTTCTCCAGAAACTCGAGAAGCTTGTCATCTGATAAAAGAAATTGCATGAAAAGATTGGTCATTGATTAGCGTGCTTCCATCGATATTTAGGTGCACGCGAGAAGTTGCTAAGCATGAAGAAAGCGTAAGAGTTCAACTCTAGCTTCTTAAGTGTGTAAGCAACCGACAAAGTGGACGGATGGACGGCAGAACGGGCGGATGAAGAACGAATTAATCCATCAGTGCCCCAAAATAAAGGTTCATCGACAATAATTCCAAGTATAAAATGTTCGTCAAAATATTTAGGGGCACGAGTACTATACCCTTTCTTACCTTCTTGAAAAGCATTAGTCATAACCACATGATCCTGTACTACGTAGTCTTTAGGAGGAGGAAAAGAAGAAAACAATGGCCAGGGGTACGGATTATTTTGTTCCTATAAGAATAAATATTTAAACAAACAAATTTTGCATAGAATTATCAACACACATATATAGTAGCAAGATGATAATGGTGTTGGTGTCGGTGTCGGTTAAATGCGCGCATGTCTGTACTGTGGTATAACGGTGTAGTAAGACATGATGATAATGGTGTTGGTGTCGGTTAAATGCGCGCATGTCTGTACTGTGGTATAACGGTGTATATATAGTAGTAAGACATGATGATAATGGTGTTGGTGCTGCTGAAATGCGCGCGTGTATGTACTATGTACTTATTGACTGAGTGGGAGGGCCGTAAGGGAAAATATTTGGCTCGAGGTCATGTCGTACGGACCGAGCGCAGCGAGGTCCGTACAAATGACCGAGAGCCAAATATTTTCCCGTACGGCCCGACCTAACTCAGTCAATAAGCATTTTATCATATGACCCATCACGTGACTTTTTCCAATGGTTTTATTAGAGCGCGCGAGCAGGGCCGTACGAGTCATATGATAATGTGGTATGGCGGTGTATATATAGTAGTAAGACATGATGATAATGGTGTTGGTGTCGGTAAAATACGCGCTCGTTTTAAATCAAATATTGCATGAGCAGATTTTTTTAACTTATAAAATCTCATGTTAACCTCTTTCTTTCTTTCTTTCTTTCGTTCGTTCGTTCGTTC